CAAAGGAGGGGGGAGGAGGGAGGAGGAGGAGGAGGCAGAGAGGAGGTGGAGGAGGAGGAGAAGGAGGAGGAGGACAAGGACTCCCCCCTGGGATTTCTCTAGGCTCCTCCGCGGGCCTTTCTGGGAAGGTTTTGGGCCTGCAGCCTTGGCCCTAGCCTTGTTGTTTTCCCTGGCAGCAAAACCCTGACAAGGACGTTCGGCGTAGACGTTGCCCGCCACATGGTGGCGGCGGCGGTGGCCGCGGCGGTCGCGGTCGCCGTGGTGGTGGGGCTAATCGCGGCGGGGTGAAGGCGCTGAGATAAGGGCCGCATGGGGCACAGGACGGGCCAGGGGGACCGTTAGGGCGGGTTGATGGGCCTGTTTTCCACCACCACCACCATGCAGTGGCGGGGGAAGGAGGTGGAGGGCGACGAGGAGGAAAAAGAAGAGGGGAGGAGGACCCCTTCCCCCCTCCAACTTATGGTGGATGTGGTGGGAAACGCCCCATCTACCTCGAGCCCATCTAGGAGGCCTCTATTCACCCCCCATGTCATGTGGGTCCCCCACCCATGACCACCCGCTCGGGCAGCACGCCAAGGCTCGCTTCGGTTCCTCCGGTTCGATTCGATTCGGCTTCGGTGGCTCACGATTCCGCTTCGATTCGGGTTGGGATTCCGATTCGGCTGCCGATTTCTGATTGGAGGCGTACTCCTCTGCCGATTTCTGCCCATGCGACTCTTCCCGACTCGGCTGCCGATTTTTCCGCCGATCTGATGCATTTCGATCGCCTTTCCGACTTATCGATTCGCTTTCTGGGCTCTCCCGGCGCGGTTACCTCCCTGCCAGGAGCGCGCTGGATCCTCGGCGAGCGCCTGCTCACGCTCGACACGTCCGGCAACTTCGTGGCGACGGACTCCAGGAGCGGAAAGTACTGCCTCACGGTCGCCGCCGCCCAGCGTGAGGGGCCTGTTTTCCACCACCACCATAAGTTGGAGGGGGGAAGGAGGAGGAGGAGGACGAGGAGGAGGAGGAGGACGAGGAGGAGGAGGAGGACGAGGAGGACGAGGAAGAGGTGGAGGAGGAGGAGGAGGAGGAGGAGGAGGAGGAGGAGGAGGGGGACCCCCTCCCCCTATGGTTGTGGTGGTGGCAAACAGGCCCATCACAGCGGCCGTGGGGGGGGGGAGGGGGGGGCGCACGCTTTGACATGGGTCGGAGGATGCTTGGCGCGGGGTTCGAGCCTGAAGACCCCGCAAGCTCGAGGAATCTCTCTGTTCACAACGTGTCTCTCCCGAGGTCTCGACACCTTCAGGGGAACGAAGAATGACAGAAGCATAACAGCTCGGAGGTCCGCGCGGATTCCTCAGATCCGCGCTGGACCCCTCCGTGGCGCGCGGAGCGCACCAGGGGCGGTGCCGGAGGCGCCGCCAGGAGGGTCCAGCGCGGATCCGAGAAACCCGCGCGGTCTTCCGAGTCTTTCTGTTTATGCCACTCGTCGGGTTTGCCCGGGGGCCAGCGGAGGGCGTCGTCTGCAGGAGCGGCCCCAGAGGGGGCAGGGAGGGCGACGGAAACGGAAATCCGCTCTCGTTTTCGGTCGGTCATCTTGTGTTTTAGAAGTATGTTTGGGTTGAGCTGTGGCTCGAGATTCCCAACTTTTTTGCATGCTCTAGGAAGCGTCGTTTGTCCTACAGCATTTCACCTGCGTCGGCCTTCGAGAAGAATAGGGGAAGGAATAATGACTTATTATTCGTTCCCCTATGCTTCTGTGGACGGGCTGCTGTCATTTTTGTTTGACGCTTCTCGGATGCCCCGCGGTTGTTCGAGGTGGAGCGATCCAGGAAGTGCCAGATATTCAAGTTGGGGTTGTCCCTGTTACAGGGAGAACATTCAAAACTAGTCAAACATAGTCTGGTGTGTGTGTGTGACACATTTCTTGAATCTTTTGGGAGCATTTGTGAGCATTTCTTCCATTTGTCATCCAAAATCGGCATGTAGGGGGACATGCGGAGGGATAACATTCGGTATTGCCTGGGATAGTTGGTCCGAGGCACCACATGCGACCCTAACAGCTGCCGGTAGGGGATCCCGTCTCCGTGCCTTCGTTGTCCCACCCCAGTGCCTCCACGTTTCCTGCATCGTGTGTCGGGCCGGACGAAAGGGGGGGATTGGGAAAGGGGGGTTACGAAATCTGCTGCATGCAGCTGGTTTTGGCCCCACCGAGGGGCCCATTCCTCGACACATGGGCGCCTCCCGGCGCCGGGAGGCGCCGGGAAAATCGGCTACGTGAGCTGATTATCAAACCCCCGTTTGCTATCCCCCCCTTTCGCCCGACCCGAGTGCGGTGTCCGAGGTGGGCGGGCTCTGCGTGGTCCTCCTCGTGGTCGCAGACTTCATGCTGGAGATCGACGTCACCCTGGCGAAGATCGAGGGCCTCGGCGGCGTGAAGATCGGCCCAGGCCGGAGGGCACCCTCTCGCCTCAGCTTGGGGTCTTTGTGGGCGCCAGAAATGGCAGGGCCGTTTTTTCACCGTTTCCCAAAAGATGTCCCTTGAAAATGGAAACGGCAAAAAAACGGCGACCGCAAACGGCACAAAAAACGGCTCCAGGATCGGAACCGGAGCCGGAACCGGTCAAACAATGGCGACGGAACCGGTAACAAAAACGGCGTCGGAACCGGCAAACAAACGGCACAACGGAATCGGTAAAAAAACGGCCCTGTCGTTTCCAGGGCCCTTTGAGCTTGGGGTCCCTGAGGTTCACGGCTCGCGTCGCGCCGACGCGGCAGGGTCCCAGTCTCGGGCGCTCAAGGTTGAACGCCGCCAGTGGCCCAGAATCGGCCATTATGGAACGACCTGGCGATCGAAGAGCCGCCGATCGTGCAAGGCTGACCGATCCGAGCGGTCTCAGAGACCAACGCCGGGGTCGCCACGCGAGACGAGCCCGCCGAGAGTGGCGGGTCCTGCGGTCCTCCGCTGTCTACGGCCTTTGGAGGCCCTGCCCAAGCCCCATGACCGCCCACCACGCTTCAGGATGAAAACAGGCAACCCCATAGCAGCACAGTTACAGCGATACTCAAGCAGCAGACGCAGGTAAATGTGCCTGATACCCGGAGGTCCGCGCGGATTTCTCGGACCGGTTCTGAATTTCTTTTCCTGGCGCGAGGAGCGCGCCAGAGGCGGCGCTGGAAGCGCCGCGAACCACCGAAAGCTTATGTTTACGATGATCTCTCTTCCTCGACTGACGCATCAACATGCTCTGCTCTGTTCGTATCCCTCTGCTCTTGGCTACCCAGATGGGGTCGTAGGATTCTGCTGCATCTGCATCGCCGATGCATCGGCGATGCGGCTCGATGTGGAACCCGACTTCTGGCCTCTTAGATGGCGTCCGCGTAGATCGGGCCGGAGGGTCGCGCCGTCTCGCCGATGCATCGCCGATGCGGCTCGATGTGGAGCCCGCTTTTCCGCACGCCGACGTCGCCGATGAATCGCCGACGTCGCCGATGCATTGGCGATGCGACGCGATTCTCCGACCCCGTCTACCCGGACCCCATCTGGGAGGGCTCTATCGGGCACCCTCCAGGCAGTAACGGACGGCCATCGGCTGGGGCGCGGCGGATCCTCGGGGCGTCCCATGTGGCGGCAATGGCTGGCAACAGGCGACCTCGGGCCGGAGCGTGGCGAGTCCTCGAGGCCCCCACTCGATTCATGAGGCCCGTATGTGCAAACTGTTGTTTCGGGATTCGTGTCTTCTGGTATCCTGCACGCTCGTTATCAGGGCTCAGTCTTTTGGGGGTCCGGGAGAGGGAGGCCTAATTCCTCGGAGTGTCTTGCCCGGTCTTGCATTGTGCTCAACAACGTGTGTTGTTTCTGACACATGATGCCTCGTCGATGTCGCTCGAACTCCAGGACTCAAGCGCAACCCACCTCTCGAGACATGCGCACGTGTCGTACCCCCGCCCCTCCCCCTGGGCCGGCGAACCCTCGCGAGCCGGAACTCCATCAACAAAGATCGTCACTCAGGACGTGTGTTGGTCCAGTGTGTGTGTGTGTGTGTGTCTGTGTGTGTGTGTGCGCGTGTGCTGACCCCGCAAGTAGGGAAACGAACAATGACATAAACATAAAAAGTCCGAGGTCCGCGCGGATTCCTCGGATCTGCGCTGGACCCCCACCCCTGGCGCGCGGAGCGCGCCAGGGGCGGCGCCGGAGGCGCCCCTTGGGGGCCCCGGCGCCGATCCGAGAAGTTCGCGCGGACTTCCGAGTTTTATGTGTATGCCACTTTTCGTTCCCCTATAGTAAGCTCCATCGACAGCACGCAGGCTGTCGCGCTCCCTGCGCCGCACCGCGAGGGCGCCTTTTGGGGCGGCCGCGCGCCTGGCCGGGAGCGCACGTGCCGAGGGCCCTCGGCCTCGCCCTATGTCGGGCGAGTCCCCCTGCAGGGGGAGTTTCGACGAAACATGAAAGATGCCCCAACAATGCACCAAAAAGGTAAAACAAAAAACAAACTAGTCCCCAGACCATTTTTTGGGGGGATGTTATGATTTGGGGTATTTTATATAGCACCATTTCTGGATGATTTCTGGGGCAATGTTTTAAAGATTTTTCGTCGAACATCCCCCTGTGGGGGGACAGGCCCGTGCGCCCGGGGCGGGCCTCCCCCCCCGCTGGCCGGCATCCCCTGGAGCCCTCGGGGTGGGCGCGGGCGGCCTCCCGGGGCTCCAGGAGGGCGCAGCAGATGTGCAGGCGTCAGTGAGTGTACGGCCCCTCCCGAGGCGGCCAGAGTGTAGGCCAGGGCCCGAAGAGGCCCTGGCGCGAGCGGCGGGCCCGTGGAGGCCCTAGAGCATGAATTGGGCCTGAAGAGGCCCCCTGTGCAAGGCCCGGGCAGGGCTGGACTGAGAGGAGCGGGGCGTTCCCGCCAAAGCTCTTATGGCTCGAGAAGACGCCATCGGGCGAGATCATCATCTCTGCATGGTGACAGGTATGTGAGGTTGCTTGAACCTACTCTTCAGGCTGGTGGCGCCAGCGCGCCATGGCGGCCGACGGTGGAGCAGCTGGGGTACAGCTGCTGGATTCACGTGGAGTCGGCAAGGTGCCGGCGTTTTCGGGCAAGAGGGAGGACTTCGAGGATTGGGTCTTCCCGTTCGAGTCCTTCTGCGGTCTGCTGGGCTGGACGGCGGGCCTGGACAGGTCGCGAGAGGCTGAGGAGCCGCTGACGGCGGACGACCTCGGCGAGCAAGGGGTGCAGGTCGGCAGGAGCTTGTGCCACCTGCTGGCGAGCACCACGAAGGGCACGGCGCAGAGCATCGTCAAGCTCTGCCCACGAGGCGATGGTTTCGAGGCGATGCGGAGGCTGTACAAGGAGTACCGCCCGCGGCTGAACGAGGATCACGGCCAGATGCTCCAGCAGATCTCGACGCCGCTGTGGTGGAGGGATCGCGAAGGCAAGGAGCGCTTCACTGAGGTGCTCATCGCCTGGGACGAGCTGATCTCGAGGTATGAGCGCGCGACTGGAGAGCAGGTCGCGCAAAACATGAAGACGAGCACGATCATGGCCCACGCGCCCGAGGAGGTGAAGGTCATGAGTCATGCTACGCTCGGCGCAACGCGAGGTGCGCAGCGACATCACGCAGATGAGAAACTGCATCTTCGAGGCGGTGATCGGCCAGAGTGTTGTGGTCGCAAAGCCGCCGACAGCGAGCAGGGGGAGCAATGACATGGACGTCGACGCGATCTCCAAGGGCAAGGGCAAGGACGGCAAGGACAAGTGCCAGATCTGCCACGAGCCGAGCCACGCGGCCCGCGACTGCTTCTGGCGCGACAAGGGCAAGCAGAAGGGCGACGGAAAAGGTCGAGGAGCAGGAGCGGGATCTAAGGGCGGAAAGGACGCCAAGGGCAAAGGCAAGGATGGCTACACGTTCACGGGAAAGTGCGACTATTGCCACAAGACAGGCCACAAGAAGGCGGACTGCCAGAAGCGGATCGCCGATGAGAAGGCAAAGGGTAATGCAGCTATCGAGCAGGAGAGCACGGACCCGAAGACGGTGACCAAGATAGAGTACGCGGAGTACGAGTGCGAGATCTGCGACGACGACCAGCTCTACTGCATGGCGATGAAGGCGGAGGATCCTGAGACGGAGTGCTGCGGCATGGAGCTCGAGGGGGCGACCTTCACCACGCTGGACACGGCGAGCGACTGCCACGTGGGGCCGGTTGCTTCGGAGAAGGTTGCAAGAAAGGCGAGGATCGAGGACCGAGGCTGCTGGATGCGCAGCGGAAGGAGACCAAGATGGACTCCATTGCGACGGTGCCGATGGCGGTTGCTGACGACTGCGAGCAGCCGAAGCTGCTGAAGGCGGACTTCAGGCTGGGTGATACGGTATCGAAGCCGATCCTCTGGTTGCTGGAGGTGATGGACAAGGGTGCCGAGTTCTGGCTGAGCGCGAAGACGGGCATGTGCATGTACCCTGGCGGTGACCTCAGCAAGGGCATCCCGCTCACCAGGAAGAACAACACGCTGGGCTTCAACGCAAAGACCTTCAAGACAGCGACGGAGGCGAAGGAGTTTGCGGCCAGCGTGAACGCGAATGAGCAGCAGGAGGAGGCGTTCGCGCCGACGCCTGGGGCTGCGGGCAGTGGAGCGGCGGCAGCGGCGCCGGCTGCACCTACGGCTGCTGCAGCGGACCCAGCGCGAGATGGAGCAGCTGAGGGCGCAGGAGGAGAGCGACTGGCTCGACATCCTGTGCTACTACGCGAAGGGCAGGAGATCGCCCTGCACCCTTCGAGCCGCGTGGAGGACACGCGGGCGAGGCTCAAGGAGATGGGCCAGCCGATCTACGGCAGGAAGGACGAGCTGTGGGCTAGGCTCAGCGACGCGGAGCGGAGGCTCACGGCGCACCACATGAAGATGAAGGAGCTGGAGCGCAGGCACGAGGAGTCCGTTCAGGGAGGGCCCTCGATAACACCACGAGAAGTAGCAGGGCCAGCAGCGCCCACGGATGCAGAACGAGCAGCTCATGAACTGCTCCACCTCACGAGGGCGCCGCGGTGCGAAGCCTGCGCGCGAGGGAACGAGACGACCAAGCCGCGCAAGACCCTCACATTCGACCAGAAGGACACTGGGGAAGCGCAGATCACCCTGGACTTCTGCCACCTCAAGACCAACGGCGACTGGACGGAGACCGGAGAGGTGGAGCCGCCAGTGGCGGACATCTTCGCGACGACGCTCGTGATGGCGGACAGGGACACGCTGATGTTCAACGCAATTTCGATGCCCACCAAGGCGGTCACGGACAACGCAATAGCCAGCGTGAGCAGCTTGATCGAGGGCATGCATCTCACGACGGCGGACATCAAGACGGATGGCGAGCCCGCGATCGTGAACTTGGTGGAGGAGGTTCGGAAGAAGCTGAACAAGAGCATCAAGCTGGAGGAGAAGCGTGGGAACCTGAAGGACAGCCAGAGCATGGGCGCGATCGAGGCTCCGATCAGATGGTTTCAGGCGAAGGTGAGGACGTACAAATTCGAATTGGAGAAGCGCTATGGCATGAAGATCACAGCGGACGCACCGATTTGGCGCTGGCTTACGCGATACGTTAGCTGGGCTACCTCTACGTACAGACCACGAGCCGATGGGAGGACATCCCATCAGGCAGCCTACGGAGTGACCTACAACGGAGAGATCCCTCCCTTTGGCGAGACGGCTCTCTTCAAGACCCCGATCTCCCACACGAGGCAGATCGCGACCACGTCTCTGAAGCGCCAGGGCGAGTCGAGTTTCGCGAAGGGCATCTGGATCGGGAAGCACAAAGAGAGCGACGACCACTCGTTCTTGACGCCAGCAGGCTGGCACCGCGCGAGAACACGCAGGCGGCTGGAGCCAGCGTTGCGAGCAGACGACAAGCTGATGAAGGCAGTGAAGGCCCTACCCTGGGGCGCGAGGAGCGCCAAGCCGTGCGAGCTACTGCCCGGGATTCAGAGGCCGATGCCCACGATCGTTCTGACGGCGGCGGAGCAGAAGGCGAAGACTGAGGCGCAGGAGGCGGCGCGAGAGGCGACGCCACCCCAGGGGGCGCCCGAGCAGGGGGCGCGGCCGGCTGCAGCAGCGAGCGCGGAGCCATCGCTAGCACCTGCGGGACCTGGAGTTGGAGCGGCAGCGGCGGCAAGGCCAGAGGGGAAGAGCACGACGGACGCGGACGCGCCGATGACACCCCGAGGGCTGATCAGACCTGCCGATGCTGAGGACTTCGGCGCACCAGGCAAGCGCGCGAAGCACGTGGACGCAATCTCGCTCGACGACCCTATCGATTGCAGCATCCTGGACAGGATGGGCACAGACTGCTACGTGACGGTCAGCGGACTGGAGCCCGCGGTGGAACTCAAGGGCAAGCGCGAAGCACTAGAGGTGCTGGCGCACTATGGCGTGCACAGGGACATCCCGAGGAGCGAGAGCGGCGAGTTCAAGAAGATCAGGGCGCGCTGGGAGCCGCAGATGCGAGGAGGTATCTGCAAGTGGCGGTATGTGGCGCAGGAGTTCAAGTGGATGGAGCAGCGCGACGACGTGTTCGCAGCGAGTTCGTCAGCACAGACGAGCAGGCTGGTGGACTTCGTCAGCAACAAGGTGGAGAACCACGGGGCCTTCATCGCAGACTGCGTGAAGGCGTACTACCAAGCGGACCAGACGGAGAAAGTTTGCGTGGAGCCACCTGCTGAGTATCTGTCGATCTTGGCGGAGATGGGCAAGCCGACCGACATTGTTTGGGCGCTAGACAAGATGCTACCTGGGCAGCGTGTGGCAGGCGCTGGCTGGGTAGACAAGGCGGCGAAGACTCTGAAGGGAGAGGGCTTCGACAGGAGTGAGTGTCAGCCGCAGTTCTACTACCGCAGGGAGAAGGAGATCCTGATCGAGGTGCGCATGGACGACTTCCACGGAGAGGGTCCAATCGGCAACCTGGACGGGGTCATCAAACGGCTGCGGGAGGTGTTCGACCTGAAGGCGACGGACGTCATCAGGCAGGGACGCTACTCGCACTTGAAGCGCGACAGGCTGAGGCTCATGAACGGCAACATCATGCTGAGGCCGAACGTGAAGCACATCGACGACCTGATTTACGTGATGGGCATGGAGAAGGCCAAGCCAGCGAAGGTGCCAAGCTTGACTGAGGAGGACCCGACATGGAGCCCCGACTTGGACGAGATCGAGAGGGCGAAGTTTCGCACAGGAGTTGGGATCGCGCTCTACATCTCGCCCGACAGAGCGGACATCCAGCGGGGCGTGCAGCTGCTGACCAGGAACCTGAGTCAGCCGACGGAGTTTGACAGGAAGCGTTTGGTGAAGCTGGTGCGGTACTTGAAGGGGACAAAGACGTTCGGAGTACTTTTGGAGAAGCCAACTGGGAGCAAGCCTGGAGAGGTGAAGCTGCAGTTGTTCACGGACACGGACTTTGCGACGTGCAAGGAGACGAGGCGTGCGATGACCTGTGGGATCACAAAGCTGGACGGGGTGCACTTCGCAGCGTTTGCGAGGAGGCAAGGAGTTCAGAGTACATCCTCAGGCGAGGCGGAGTTCTACGGCGCGACCTCGGTGGTGATGGACGGCAAGTTGGTGAAGAACATGCTGGAGTGGTTGGGCTATAAGGTGACCTGGGAGCTCGGGATCGACAGCAGCGCCGCGAAGGCGATGGTCAACCGCGAGGGCGTCGGCAAGGTGAAGCACCTGGACGTTCGGGCGTTGTGGATCCAGCAGGAGCGGAAGGTCCACGGACTGAACATCAAGAAGGAGAGCGGAACTAAGAACGTGGCCGACCTGGGAACCAAAGCGCACACCACAGAGCGGTTCGAGTACCTGCGAGAGCTCGCTGGCATCATCGACTGGAGCGAGATGGATAAGCACAAGGAGTTGGAGGCATGCTCGGTGACAACGAGCGCCTGGGCTAAGCAGGGGTTGCTGGCGACACTACTCGCGCAAGGAGTGATCGGTGGTGCGACGACATCAAGCGATTGTGCAGTGCGAGAGCTCGACCAGCGTGCAGTTGCCCCCTGGGAGGCGACAAAGCTGCAGGACTGGACCGATGACCATATGACACTGATCATCCTGAGCGTGCTGATGATGACGTTCGTGGCAGGTGCACTGCTCGGGTGTTGGAGCCGCGAGAAGTGGACGACGATGAAGAGCTCCACGAAGCTAAATCTGGTCAAGCATACGAATACCCCGAATCGGAGCAAGGAGCTGATCAACAAGGTAAGGTTCACGGACAAGCCGATGACGGAGGAAAAGGCGAGTCAATCGCCGTGCACATACAAGTGGAAGTACGCGACGCCGAGGTTCATGGTGCTGCCCGAGGCGAGCCACAGGTGAGAACGAGCCTGCGGCCTATGGCAAGGTGAACGAGGTGATGTGCCTCGACGAGGCGCCGTGGGGGCGTGCAGGCGTCAGTGAGTGTACGGCCCCTCCCGAGGCGGCCAGAGTGTAGGCCAGGGCCCGAAGAGGCCCTGGCGCGAGCGGCGGGCCCGTGGAGGCCCTAGAGCATGAATTGGGCCCGAAGAGGCCTCCTGTGCAAGGCCCGGGCAGGGCTGGACTGAGAGGAGCGGGGCGTTCCCGCCAAAGCTCTTATGGCTCGAGAAGAAGCCATCGGGCGAGATCATCATCTCTGCAAGATGAGCAGCAGCTGGAGGAGTGTCGCATCACTCGGTATGCTACAGTCGAGAACGCCGCCTCGCGGGCTCTGCTTTTCCTCAGGCGCACAAGGGTCCGCTGCGGGCGGCCTCCCGGGGCTCCGGCCTGTCCCCCATGCAGGGCTTAGTGGGCCTTGGAAACGGCAGGGCCTTTTTTTGCCGGTTCCGTTATGCAGTTTTTTTTTTTGCCGGTTCCGACGCCGTTTTTTCACCGGTTCCGTCGCCGTTTTTCGACCAGTTCCGGCTCCGGGTCCAATCCTGGAGCCGTTTTTTTTGCCATTTCCGGCCTCCGTTTTTTTGCCGTTTCTATTTTCAAGGGACATTTTTTTGGGAAACGGTGAAACACGGCCCTGCCGTTTCCGGGGCCCACAAAGCTGCAGGGGGATTTTCGACGAGAAATTTTAAAATACCTCCAAAATATTCCCAAATGGTCAAGAGATGCGCCAAAAATAGTCCCCAGACTATTTGTTGAGCATATGTTTTTTTGTTGTCCGTCGAAAATCCCCCTGTAGGGGGACACGCCCGACTGAACCGTAGACAAAAATATCGGAGGTTGGTGGACCTCCTACCCTGACACGTCGATTCGCGAATTGGCCGTTTTCGGTTTGCGAGAGGGCGTCGCGGCCGTCATTTTCGCGGGTCCAGGTCCGCCGGTTTCGGTCCCTGGCCGATTTCACTAAAGGGAGGTTTACTAAAGGGCGGTTTGTCCACCGCCGAAAAATAGAGGACCATCTTCTAATGCCTTCTAAAACAAACATATCTTGTTGAGTATGGTTTGACCATTCGTCAGTCTTCTTTCAGAAACCTGCCTGTAGGAGGGCATGCCCGATCTCAGCGTAGAGACGCGGACATTTCCGAAGAAGGCAAAACGGCACAAACATAAATTGTTGGCGCGCGGATTTCTCGGATCCGCGCTGGGCATCCCCGGAGGCGCCTCCAGCGCCGCCCCTGGCGCGCCCCGCGCGCCCGGGAGGGGGGTTCAGCGCAGACCCAAGAGATCCGCGCGGAGCGCCAACAGTTTAGCTTTAATGTATGGCGTTGTTTCTTCTTTTCATATCACCGAGCGCGTTTCACTATTCGCAAAGTGCCTACTCGCAAACGTCCGAAACAGAAAACAGCATGTCTGCTTCGATGCAGCGTGTCGGAGATCCCCAGCGGCGGATCCAGGCCATCTGCGAGCTGTTACTCGTGTGAGTGGTGGAGCGCGCTCGTCTGTCATAGTGGGCCAAGACCCGCACGGCCAGGGTCGAGCTGAACGGTGCTTTGGCAATTTCGTGGGCCGTTTTCGTTTGGACTTTGTTTTGCAGCAGTTGTGGAACGAAGACAGGACTAGGGTTGACGAAAACATAACGAAAACGGAGAACACTGTTCAACTCGAGCCCTGGGTGACGTCCCCTGGACTTCGGCGTCGCTGTTCCAGGTCGTGCCGGGGGCGGCCTGCGCTCGGCGCTTCCGCCCCTGGCGCGCCCTTCCCTGCGCGCCGGGAGAGGGGGGTCTCAGCGCCGATCCAGGGAGTCCGCCTGAGGCTCGGAGGAAGGCCATGTTGACGGAGTTGTCCTGGTATGTTTTATGCGAGGAGGACGAGGAGGAAAGCTCGGGGGCGGAAAAGAGGGGGGTGATGACTGGGGGGGTGGATATCATGGCGGGGGCCATGATATTTCCCCAGATTTCATGGCGCCTCTTCTTGTTTCATTGCGTCCCCCCCCCGCTGGGCCGCGCACATGCCGCCGGTCATGATTCGCAACCTTCCCTCTTGGACACCCCACTCTTGGCCGCTCCCAAAAAGCACGAATGCTGAATTGAACAGTGGCTGTTGTTGTCACATGTTCAGTTTGTTCTGTGTTGGTTGCGCTGTGTCAGGCGCTACGGTCACACACTGGACTGTCCCCCCTCGTTTTCGCCGTTTCTTTCTCCATCCTCCCGCTCCGACTCGATATGCTCATTATCCTTATTTGTGTCGGCGAGCTTACGATGTGGTGGCGCAAGGAGGGCGACCCGCTGAGAATGGCCCCACCCAAGAAGGTCGCCCCCTTCGCGCCACCCCCCGTGTGCGCTCTGCCTTCCTTCTGCCCCGCCACTTCCCCTCCTTCGCCTGCTCCTCGGTCCCTCCTTTCCCCGCCTCACTCTTGAGGTCGCCAACTGCACTCTTGCACCGTCCTTGGCTGGGCCGGCATTGGGCACAGCATCGGCGTAACAACGGTGTCCTGCCCAAGCCAGGGGGGCGTGCGCAGAAGTCCGACGTCGTGATTGCAATGGACGGACGGCCGGTACCGCCGACCCTGAAGAGGACCACGACGTCGGCGACGAAGCGGGCGGAGACGGAGGCCGTGGAAGATGAGGAGGAGGAGGGAGAGGAGGAGGAGGAGGCGAGGAGGAGGGGAAGGAGGAGGAGGAGGAGGAGGAGGAGGAGGAGGAGGAGGAGGAGGGAGGAGGAGGAGGAAGAGGAGGAGGAGGAGATGGAGGAGGAGAGGGAGGAGGAGGGAGGAGGAGCGTGGAGGTGGAGGTTGGAGCAGGAGGGTGAGGAGGAGGGGGAGGAGGGGGGAGGGGGAGGAGGAAGATGAGGAGGTGGAGGAGTTGGAGGAGGAGGAGGAGGAGGAGGACGAGGGGAGGAGGAGTAGGACAGGGCGGTGTCGGGAGAAAGAGAAGTTGGAGGAGGAGGAGGAGGAGGAGGAGAAGCAGGAGGAGGGGGAGGAGCAGGAGGGTGACCGAAGAGAGGGCTCTGGCGGTGCCAGAAAGCCTCGATCCTCGAGCCTGGGGTTCCGAGTCTGAGAAGGAGGAGGAGGAGGAAGAGGAGGAGGAGGAGGAATAATGAGGAGGAGGAGGAGGAGGAGAAGGGGTAGGGGAAGTTGTTCTACATGTTCAGTCTTTCGTCATTTTCGGCCTCTAGGGGTTATTTTGTGAACCGGGAAGCAGCGCAGGGTTCCCGAGCCGCGCGGGGACCGCGCCGGACGCGCGGGGAGTGAAAGCGTAACAACGTTGTCTTGCCCAAGCCAGGGGGGCGTGCGCAGAAGTGCGACGTCGTGATTTGTGTACAGCGTGGATCGAGGTCTGGACCCCTTCCAGGGAGTGTCTTCTCATCCGGAGTGGTTATCTGACGGCCCCGGGGCCGGGAGGTTCCCCAGAGGCTGAAGACCGCCAGACAGATCTCCGTCGTGGTGTTTCGACGTCGCGAGGATGTCGGGGTACACGCCAGTCTTCGGCCCAGGCTTGGCTGGGCCTGGATCGAAGCTTGTGCGTAGTTGTCGACATAGCTGTTGCCCCCATCCGACAGGTTGCGGTTGTGAGGCTTGAAGAGAACGGCTCCCGACCCGGCCGCCAGGCCCAAAGTGTACCGGTGCTTCCCGGGCATCCCGCCTCGCGTCTTCGATTAATGACGACTGCACATCGCCGCCGCGCGGCTCGGTGCTCCCTGCCTTGCATTGTTTGGGTTGGGTGGGATCTCACGAAGCAGAATGACTGCTGATCTCGTGTTTTGCTGTTCGACGGTCTAATTCTGGCGGCAGGTGCGCCTGCACTGCCTGCGCGCACTCGGGCCCAATAGCGCAGCGCGCCGCCAGAGCTGGAGTACATCTGCTTCAGCTCCTCCGCGGTGGCCACCTTCACCGTGCCCGAGCTCTACTTCGTCGCCAGGACGGGGAGGGAGGGAGGATCACGAGCAACGCCAGGAGGCCTTCTCGCAAGTTTTTTAGCGCTTTGTGCCCCCATTCAAGGAAACGGATCCCTCAACTGCGTGGCGGCGCTTCTCCAATTGACCTGCAGGGGGCAGGCCACGTGCTTCCAGGCAAGTCTCCGCCAATCGTTGTACGGGTGGAGGTAAGCCCAGAGAGAGAGAGAGAGATACCCAGACAGGTCTGGAGAACCCATGGAAGCTCGGGCGCGAGTCGAGGGACAGCAGAAGTCGTTGAGCCTTTGACGAAGAACGATGAGGAGGAGGAGGAGGAGGAGGACGAGGAAGAGGAGCAGGAGGAGGAGGAGGATGAGGATTTATCCAGATGCGACCGAATGCGTGAATGAGATCACGCAGGTGGACGCGGGCGTCAGCCGCACGGAAAAAAAAACAGAGAGAGAGAGAGAGGGAGCCTCGGGCACGCCCTCGGGACGGAGTGCCAGCACGGGCAAGGGGAGGAGGAGCGGGAGAACAGCAGACGACCTCGGCAGAAGCTCCCCGAGGTCCACACTGGACCCGCCAGTGCGAGCAGGATCGACAGACCGGGCCCACCGGGCGTCGCCCGCTACCGCCCCTCGCACACCATCGTAGCCAACGTCGACGCAATGCCACCGTACAGTGGCCTTCGGCCCATCCCGCCACCGTACCTGGGCCTCGGGCAACGAGATTGCTATATGCCCAATATTTTGGAGGCCGCGGGGGGGCCTTTCCGGAGTCTCCCGGAGGCCTCGCGGGGGGGCGCTTTGGAGGTCGCTCGGGGCCTCGTGGGCGAAGGGGGGGTGCCCTGGCGGCCTCTTGGCGCCTCTTGGCGGCCTCGGGGTCATCTTGTGGGAAGTCGTGCAATTGTCGACGCGACCCACCCAACCATGCATGAAACAGCCCTCTTCCCCTCCCAGATGGGATAGACCCCAGGGTTCCAAAGCCGCCTCCCCTCCAGGATTGGGAGGGAAAACGACGACAACGACGACGACGACGCTGGCGCCGACGCCGACCTCGACGCTGACGCGGTCCAGAAG